TATATTTTTTAATTAATTAAGCCAATTCCAGAAAATAAAAGAACTCAAAAGAATAACATATAAAAGATATTTTCTCAATCTTTCAATCAGTTTATTCTCATTAAAACTCAGTTGAACTTGAAGCTATAAGGTATACTGTCAGCATGTTATGTATTATATAAATAATTTAACATTTAAATATATTATTTATATTTATGTACACACTTTGTCATCACATATCCATCATAGCATAATATTTAATGCCGATATAAATATTATATAAAATAATATAAACATTTTATTTTAAAATATTAAAGAAACATTTGTGGACTAGAAAAATATAAAGTTTACAAGTTTGAGGAGATTATAAATGTCATCTTCTTTAAAATAAAAATGACATTCGACAGAAGTTAGCACTTAACTCACTTCTACTGAAGGAGATTCCATGAGATGTAAAGTTTGCTATCTTGCTGATGTAAAGTTTAATTTTTCTTATATAAATTATTACATATCTCTACATATTATCATCTAGATATTATTTATTATCTTAATACATCATAAATATGTAAAACTGAATAAACTCCATGCATTTCTAATATAACTATTTAAATAACCCTATTAAAATAATCATGTAATAATATTTTAACAGTAGCATAAAATTTAAATTATTTTAAGGATTTGAAAATTTCTATATTATTAATAAAGTTTATAATTACAATTTTAATTATTCATGCAAAGTTCCTTTCTTGAGAAATTTGAATATTAACCTAATTTTTCAATTATTTAACTTCTGATAAATTATGGAGTAATAACTAATATATTTTGTTTTGTTTTGCAAGATTTTTTAATGATTTATTTCTTCTAAAATAATTTTAAAAATAATATTTGTTTTAATTTTTAAATATTAAATTCGAAATTCAAATTTAAAAAAAAGTTTTTTTTGGGTATATTTAATTTAATGAAAAAAGCATTAATTTATTTTTTACCAATGTACTCTATATTTTATTCTTAATTTTTTATAATTTATTATAAAAAATTTTATTTTTTTTAAGAAAAATGGTTTACTGTACATTAAATTATATGATAATTAATTTCACTTGTACCGTCCCAAACTGACTTATTTAAATTTATGTATTGAATTTTTTGCCACGAAATAAATTCAAAGTAAAATTTATACATAGTTTAATATTCATTCGAACTATATAATACATAAAAACTGCGTTATATTTAAGTATTGTAAGCCTGTATTATATAATAAGATTTTGAGACTAACACATGAATAATAATACAGATAAATAATATTTCGAGTCCAATTTATATACGTATAATACATAATAATAAATAAAATAAGACTCTCTTGCTACACATATTCATCTAAAATCAAAAGAAAGAAAAAAAATCCAACTCGAAACCTTACGTAAAAATTCTGAAATATCCAAATATCTAATCTACAGAAATTTAAATTCTGATTTGTTCTTTGGATCCATATTTTATATTTAAAACATCATTCTTAATAAGTGGCAAAGATAAGCTTTTAGTATATAAACATCATTCTTAGTAGCAAAGATAAGCTCTTACGAGTTAGAAATATTGAAAATGAAATTACTTATATATAAAAACATATATTTATATAAGAATATACATTCAAATATAATATTGACGATAAACCGTAAACAAAATTAAATATTTGGATTACTTTTATTCATTTTGTAACATTTAAATTTCTGTTTTGCAACATGTTTTTAGTATTAACATTTTATAGTAAACAATAAATTTGAATGATCCCATTTTGGCTAACTCGAACCAATTCATTATATATATATATATA